GAACTACTAGCCATTCATGAGGCGTTCCGGAGATGGAGGCACCTGCTAATTGGCGCACAACATAAGGTGCAAGTGTGCACTGACCACAAGAACTTAGAGTATTGGAGGACGGCACGAGTGCTCAACCAACGGCAAGTGAGATGGGCCCAGGAGTTCTCCAAATTTAACTTTGAGATTAATTACGTGCCAGGCCCAGAGAACATTAGGGCGGACGCTCTCTCACGCAAACCAGAATATTTGGAGGGGAGGGGCACCGAAGAGAGACATGTCATTCCAGAGGACCGCTGGGTGTGTGGGGCGGCATTGGTGGGACAAAGAGAACTGGTAGAGGAAACAGAGAATGATGAATACGCCCAGAATAAGCTCAGAGGTCTTAGGAGTGAGGGAGAGGAACCAGGGGGGTTTCGAGGAAAGAAATGGAGCTTTGTATTACAAAGGGGCACTGTATATCCCTGAAGGAGAGTTAAGGGGGGGAGGGTACTCAAGCAGTTGCACGACAGCCCTACGGCGGGGCATTTTGGACAACACAAAACCATGTGGTTGGTCACCAGGGAATTTTGGTGGCCTAAGGTGAGGGAAGATGTACGTGAGTATGTAAGAGGGTGCGAGCAATGCCAGAGAGCCAAAGGGGAAAGGCGGGCGCCGGCGGGGCTATTAGAACCCTTACCAACCCCAGAACGACCTTGGGAGGCAGTGTCGATAGATTTTATGACTGATCTGCCGAAGTCCAAAGGGAAAACAGCCATCATGGTGGTGGTAGACCTACTAACAAAGATGTGCCACTTTGTAGCTTGCTCGCATGCAGTCACGGCGGAAGAGACAGCGAAGTTATTTGTAGAACACATTTTTAGGTTGCACGGGGTGCCATTGAGGGTGGTCTCAGACCGAGGAAAACAATTTACTTCCAGGTTCTGGAGGAAGCTCATGAGCTTACTGCAGGTGGAGGTCAATTTTTCGACTGCCCGGCACCCTGAAACCAACGGGCAGGCGGAAAGAGCAAACGGTGTCCTCCAGCAATACCTGAGGTGTTATGTCAATGACAGAGAGAATGACTGGGTAGAAAAGTTGGCGCTGGCGGAATTTGCCTACAACAATGCCGAGAATGTGTCCACAGGGATGAGCCCCTTCTTGGCTAATTATGGGTGTCATCCCAGGGCTTTCCCAGGGGAGATGGGGAGAGATGGAGCGTCCCGGCAGCCGAGCATTTTGTGGAAGAAATGGAAGCAATCCATCGTCAGCTCCAACTCAACTTAGAAAGGGCGAAGGAAGAATACAAGAGGCAGGCAGACAAGAACCGAAGGGAAGGTGAAACCATAAGGGTGGGAGATAGGGTGTGGCTGTCAACCCAAGGGTTGCCGTTCAAAGGAGGTTGTAAGAAATTAAGACCCAGGAGGTTGGGTCCCTTTGAGGTCATTCAACAGGTCAACCCAGTGGCTTTCAGGCTCCGGTTACCCAACCACATGAAACTGCACCCAGTATTTCACAGGTCGTTACTGTCACCGTACGAAGGGGGACGAGAAGGGCTGGCCACTCGGGGACCGGTCATAGAAGAAAGAGAATGCAGCAGCCATGTGGCAGAAATCCTCGACGCCAGGTGGAAGGGGGATCAGGTGGAGTATTTGGTAGCGTGGGAAGGAGAACCGGAGTCAGAAAACACTTGGGTAATGGCCGAAGATATCAATGACGAGGTATTGATAGAAACGTTCCATCAAAGGTTCCCAAGGAAACCTCAGCCTGTGGAGAGGTTCCGGAGGGAATACTTTGGGACCACTGATGAGGGGAGGAGTTGGAAGGATTCCCGGACTCGGAAGGGGAAGGGGAGATGGACTCTGAGGAGGAGGTGTACTTCGAGACCAGGAACCGCAACAGGTTGAGAGAAGTGTTCGAGACATCGGAAGATGAAGGAAGTTCATTCCGGGTTTTGCCTCCTCACCGCCCGTAGAGGAGGGGCGAGAGGGGGTGAAGGGGGCCCTGGAGGGGAGGTGGATGTCAGGGAACTGCCATCGGACGGAAGGGAGGTGAAAGGGCTCACACAGGTTGGGAGAGACGCAGCAGCTGAAGAGGGAACCAGCAGGGAGGTGAAAGGGCTCACACAGGTTGGGAGAGACGCAGCAGCTGAAGAGGGAACCAGCAGGGAGGTGAAAGGGCTCACACAGGTTGGGAGAGACGCAGCAGCTGAAGAGGGAACCAGCAGGGGAGAGGAGCTGAGCTGGAGGGATGGCTCAGAGACACTTCCAGCGAAAACAGTGGGGAGGTTTCAGGACCTCCTGTAAGAACACCCACTCCTCGCCGGAAACTGTCACGCAGAGAGTCCAGAAGACGTGTTTCCGTTAAGGAGCTTTTATGTTGGAAGCGATTACGAAAGCAACCACTGTCGGAATCTGCTAGTGACTAGAGGGGCCATGTCTGAGGGGCTCCGTCACAGACAGAGGTTTGTGGACTTGAACAAACTCTGAAGGGATACGATTTTACGCACAAGCAGCTCATCATCTCATCACACA